CTAGTTAGATATTTGGTTCAAATTGTAGATTTTACACCTATTTTAGTCTAGAACGTTGTAATTTTCCAAATTGATTTACTTTTGTAGGTAGGTAAGGTTTAGATAGGAAAGCTTGTATTCTTTTTGTAAGTTTAGTGTAACATCACACACTTTATTCCCCGAAGGGATAGGCAGAGCTTCATATCATCTTCATCATCAGCATTAACAGCCTATATATATATTTAATATTGAGCAAAGTCTCTTCTCACACGAAAAAGGTTTTGCTTGCTTAATGCGAGTTGGCGATTTTAAACTTATAAATAGAAATTATAAACCCAGGTTGCCTCACGATGTTCTCCTTCACCGTATGTCAGTGGCGTCTAAATGGTCTTAGAAAGTATATAGAACTTGGAAAAAGTCACATTGGTACTTGCCATTGGTAGGTTTCGAGCCCGCACCATGCATTGCATGAGAAGCGGGCGTCTTTAACCTCCGAGCCACCACGACTGAGCTTCACATAGTGTAATGTAACAACTATATGTCACCAAGTATGTTATGAGAAATTACTGATGGAAATACTCCCATATACCTGGATATGTACACTGGCAGTATTTCCATCTGCATGGAATTCCATGACTTTCCATAGTTAGGCTCTGGAGCCTAACTAGAACTAACACACGTTACTTAAATAATGGTAATTGTAGTTGAGATTCTTTAAAAGAAGTTGGAAAATATTCCAATTTGTTCTTCGCCTTGGGTTAGGCGAGAGGGAGCGTCGGACTCTTACTGATTAAAAACCACCCCGTCCCTACTCCTGCTCATCGAACCAGAGCCCCGGCAACCTTATCGGCTTTCTGCGGCTCCGTATCGGGCATCAGCCCTACTGGGCCCCATCTGTGGACTATATCAACTCTCTGGTTGGCAGTAGCACTTACAACCACTCGACAAACATAAAAAAATAATATTAAAGAAGCTAAGGATATTTTTAACTTAAATATTGAAGTAACTGAGTGAAAGTCAGCCGAAGTAGGACATCAACGATTTAAAAATAAGTTTGTGGTTTTAAGTAAATGTGAAGTTATAAAATAAATATGGCGGCTTTTATTATTGTACGGTATGTTTAAGTAACTGGTTTGGGTGCATTTATGGTCCGATTTTAGAGTAAGATTGCATTGATTCAAATGACTTTGGTATAAATGTAGAAGCAGGGTAATGAACCTAGTTCATAACATAACATAACGTCACACTTTTTATCTCCGAAGGGGTGCAATTACGGCACTTAATGCCACAATTTAACACCCATTTTTCACAATTTATGTTATGAGTCTCATTTTTTTTTTTTAATTGGACAAGCCCGCCACAACCTCCCAAAACCGCTGCAACTCCTGTAAGCCAGGATCTACAGTAGATACAACCATGAAAACACCGGAACACTGAAGTCCGGCGCGTCCCAGGGACATGAGTAACTGTCTTGGTTCCCGCAACGAAGTGAATCAGAAGATATTATAAGAGGAGAAGAAGAAAAACTATGGTTTTCACTTCCCTCGGTGAATTACTGCAGGAGACAGAATGAATTAAGCCTAAAGGCACAAAGAAGAGACTGTACAACTGGGTGAAGCCCAGTCGCCAAGCACCACGGAAATTTGACTAAAAACTAAGTGGGTCCTATGTGTGAGCTGTTATACTTGCTATGAGTCTCATGTAATAGGGATAAGCCTAATGCTGAAAGGCGTTGTTTGGGCAAAGTATTACTGAGATTTTGTTTTAAATACCCAGTAATACTTAGCCCGACCCGGGAATCGAACCTAGCCCGGCAGTCACACTTGCGACCACTTGGCCAACGAGGCAGAACCTAGTTCATAATTGGCCATATACCCGAATGAGAAAAATATTAGTTCATAATAAACATGCTGTCTCATATCCAAAAGCTATGTTTGACACGCAACACGTTACGCTCAACAAATTCTGCAACGGTGTACTACATTATCGCAACATGATACGTGTCGTATCTACTGTTTGTTTCAATGCAACATTTTGTTGAACATCAAATATGTGTTGTCAAGTGAAGACGCAACTTGACGCGCAACGGCGCAACATAAGATGTTGCTGACGAATGTTGCGAGCAAAATCATAACCCGTATACGCAAAATGTTGCACAACAAAAGTTCCGCATTGACTTATAACACGTTTAGCAACATGTTACATGCGAACTGTTGCAGTGAACAAGAGGCTACAAGCTAGTTGATTTATAGGTATGTAAATATGAGATTTTCATGATTTGTAGTTTTGTATGTAAATAAATTTGGTCACAAATAGAGCGTTATTTTAAGATGTCACCGCTAATGTAGTTTACGTCAAACCCATATACAGTATGTGTACAAGATATTGTATAGTAATAGGTTCTACTAACATCCGTATTTAGAATAGTAATTTTGGAAAGAAACTAGCTTATTGGTTCCTGGTCTGAGTGTATTGTATTTAACAATAACTTAAAATTGTCGGTCAACAAATAGGTGACAGTTAGGCTGAAAGTCGTAGGTACAAAGTGGATGCTAGCTCCAAAAGACCGGCAGGAACAAAGTGAATGCTAGCGCCTAAAGACCGGTAGGAACAAAATGGATGCTAGCGCCAAAAGACCGGCATGAACAAAGTAAATGCTAGCGCCTAAAGACCGGTAGGAACAAAATGGATGCTAGCGCCAAAAGACCGGCATGAACAAAGTAAATGCTAGCGCCTAAAGACCGATAGGAACAAAATGGATGCTAGCGCCAAAAGACCGACAGGAACAAAGTGAATGCTAGCGCCAAAAGACCGACAAAATGGCGCAATCTGAAAGAGACATTTGCTCAGCAGTTGGTGCATATTATGTAAGTTCAAGAATCGTTCATCTTGGTTCTGGTCCATAAGTTGGAAAGTCTTTGGAAGGTCTTGTCAGGTCTGCTCAGATAACACGACCAATTTAAAAGGCCCAGGTTTACGCACCCGAGTAACTTGTGAACATAGTATAGGAGCAAGCAGTATAGGAGATCTAAACAGAGGACATATTGAACACATACAAATATAGATATATACATAACCTGTCTTCCAGAGACTGGCAGAGACTATGGAAAGCCAATTGCTACGATTCTTACATACCTCTTTCGCTTCATCAACAGTCATCAATCTTTTCATGCATGCTCGTCGGTTAAGGGTACTTTCTATTTGGCTCTTCTTTAATTTATCGCCAATCTTTTTTTATGGGATAAGCCGGTAAACGAACTGACGGGCCACCTGATGGTAAGCAATTGGCGTAGACACCTGGAACACCAGAAGCGTTACAAGTGCATACCAGCCTTTTGGGGATTTGGAATTTGAGGATTGTTGAGGATTCAGGTATTGAGGAGATTGAGGAAGGGGTAATTGAGCCTCCGGTAACCTCACTTATGTGACGAAACAAAACGCAAGTGTTATTTTACGTCGGTTTTCTGCTCGGCCGTGGTATCACTCCAGTCGTGCCGGCCCATTCGTGCCGAAGCATAGCTCTCCACGCTTAGATCGATATATTTTTGGTCGATATATTAGTAATAGAAAAGCATGGAGATCTCTGCACAACAATTTCCTACGACATTGGTTGTCTATGTCACATCTTTACGGACCTGAGAATAGAAGCGATATCTCATATAGTAGACCACATAGGTATATATTAAGGAAAAACTAGTAATTTCTAGAATAGAAATAGTATTAATGTAATGATATAGGTTCCTCTGCACTCGTGTAATTATTTGCACGATATCTTGAGATTATAAAATTATACATACCAAGTACATATCAATGTTAATATTTAAACTAGACGTATATATGTGTGTTCTAGTTTATATTTGCATACACTGATACTGAGAAATTCTGAAATTGTGAGTATAGAGTACTAAGTGTACTCATATTAATAATCAATCTTAATCCAGAATCGGTATAGATTTTTAAAAGAAAGTCATTACAAGGGAAGGTTAGGCGTTGTAGTAGCATAGAACGAGTTGCTAAGTCTCCGACTCAAAGAGCAGGAATACCCACGGGGTGGTTTTTATTCAGTAAGAGTCTGACACTCTCTCTCACCTTACCCAAGGTGGGAGAAACCATTGGATGATTTTCCCCCCTTAATAAAGGGAAGGGCAGGCGTCGCTCTTAAACGAACCGACAGGCAAGCAATCGGCACCGTCCATTGATAATCACGACGCCAAAGCACTTGCAAATGCGATATTTTTGGGCTTCTGGTAATCTGATACATGCGAAATACACTACAAGTCTTGGTTCACGTTAGTTTTCTCTGAGGCCATGGTATTGTCTGAGCCGGCTCACTCGTGCCGAAGCATGGCTAGCCCACGTGTTCAAACTTGAGGTAGGTATAATAATTATCCTAATTATGAAATTAGGTTGTGGACTTGTCAGTCGAAAGTCGTCCCTAGAAATCATTTGCTGGTTTCATTGGAGGGATCCCAAAGGTCAGGAGCGAAATACTTTAAATCAGCGTGCTTCCATGACCAAGTAAATAAATGTGATAGAAGCTAAGTAAAGGTCGTTGTAAGTAGATGGTATTCTGCTAATTGTACGATATATATATGCAAGATAATGTTTCTATGACTACAGTTTAATATGCCTTAAGAAATATTGCTACTTCTAAATTTAAATTCAAATTCTTTTATTGCATATCATGTGTACAATTATTGGTGTTCTAGTAGGCCATGGAGAGTACACGATAGTTGGTTCATTTTAAAACATACTTTTTGACATTTGGAGAAAGGTTATAATAGCATGGCTTATTATTTATGCATTACTACTTGAAATCGTAAAGAGAAGAGAAATCCCTTTTATATATGAAACTAATGACATCGCACTCCATATATATAAGTGCTATGTATTAAATGTCCTACAAGTGTAATATGAACACTTTTATGACGTTTTTTCCAGTTTAAACTAATTTCACAGATTAGGTTAGTTTGCGCTCGCAACCATAGCTAATAAAATTAAATATGTTAGTAACTACTTACCGGAGCCAAGAATGATGAAACACTGTAAAAACTCACTGAACGACTTAATATAATAATTTAAACTGCAACCACAAACTATTTTATAGCAAAATATAAGAAATATTGTAATTTGTAAGTATAACTATTTAACATCTTCAAAAAAAACGAGGTTTTATTTAAAAAAAATCGAACACAAACGTTCGGAACGGGAGCACAGTGAACGCGACGGAACGGAAAAATTATAATAAAAAAAAATATGATAAAACTTGCACAGATTAAAAATCACAAGTGACGTTTCAATCACAAAATAGTGTTGTCCCACTACCGAAAAGTTTATCGAGTATCGATACGATAGTACGTGTTTTGTGTTCGAATGCGAAGTACGAAGTGAGGCACTAGTGTTGCGCCGGCGACTTATCAGTGGCTTAAGCTGTAATATCAACATTGCCAGTAAAAGATTGTGCAGTTGTGAGGTTATATCGATTTTCGATGATTACGCATTGCGGGAAATCGGGTGACAACGTGGGAATCCGATGTGGCGGCACACACCGATACTTAGATATCAAACGAATTAAATTGCTTAGGTATATTAATTTCATTATAATATTGACTTATTAAGCATTCGAACAATAATTTTAATGCGTAGATATGATTGGTAGGAAAGTGGACTAAGTTTGTATCAAGAAACATTTTTTTAACAAGAATACTAGATAGTAATATGAAAGGATTTTAGGCAATGAATTACGTGTACATTTTACATACTTAACCCTACCGACCCCTCTTAAGTAACAATAACCGTGATTGTACAACATAAAAAGTAGGACAAATTAAATCATACTATACTATAATTCTTATCATTTCCTCGATAAATCACTTCTTCCTCTGTCACACCCCTTATCTCATTGTAGCGTGATGCTAGATAACCCATGACCTTCCTGAAGAATTAGGCTATCAAATAAAAAACTGATATTAGTAGTAATTAGTTTCTGTAACAAAGAAATCAAGAAAGACTAGATTTTCCTAAATTATCTTCACCATTCTTATTAGGCATGTCTGTCAGCTATAAACTCAAAAACTACTGAATGGATGCGGATGGAATATGTCAGAGAGACAGATTGTAGTTTGGAATAACACATGGGCAATGTTTATCTCGTAAAAACGTGTGGTATTTCATCACGCCATCAATTCATTCGCACATATAAATTACGCACATAGGAAATTGTTGACTAGCAGCGTAGTAGCTAACCTTTTGGGGACATTAGGTATCGCCCGAATACTGAAAGGCTACTCAATTTTAGTGGTCAAAAGTGTGACTGCCGGGCAAAGGGTCTCGGGTTTGATTTCCGGGCAAAGTACTACAGGGTTTTTAAAAAAAATATCAGTAGTAGCACGGAATCTGGAATTGTGCCCGGTATATGGCATTCCTATTGGTCGTAGCGTGATGTTTTATAGCCTATAGCCATCCTCGATAAATGCGCTATCCGACACAAAAAGAATTATTCAAATCAGACTTGTAGTTACGGAGATTAGCGTCTTCAAACAAACAAACTCTTCCGCTTTATATAATAACATATAACATCACGCCTTTAACCTCGAAGAGGTACACGGCGACATTTTGGAACGAGCGCCTAGCTTCACTGACGGACAGACTGACAGACGATTATATATCTCATATTTGTTGACGTTTCAAAAGTACCAAATTATGGTTTAATTGAAATAAATGCTTTTGAGTTTGAGTTTGAGTTTGAGTAGGCAGAGGTGCGCATTATGCCACTGTACAATGTAACACCCACTTTTCACTATTTATGTTATGATTCCCATGTAATAGGGGGTGAGCCTAACACATACCCTCAAGAGAGAGAGAGGTTAAGTATGAATGTCGACACAAGTCTCTTTGCTCAAAAAATTTATTGGACTTAAACCTCCATACAAATAAAAACCGAAGCTAAAAAACGACTCCAGCTTGACTCCTTAATCATCAATTCCTGACCTGTCCTAACCTCATTCAAGTATTACTATACAATATACATATATCCATATATAGGTCGACACATAATTCCAAGTAAAACAGCGAGTATTTAGCTTAGTCTACAATTTTGTATTAAAATTAGCTATGCAACAAATCGATCGGATGACACGGTGTGATCACATGATTTATGTTCCAAGAAAATGTGGAATATATTTATGTGTTTTTTTTTAAGGGGGGAAAAGCAGGCCCGCGCTTACGGTGGCCGGAGATCGTCTCGCGATGGATGGGTTGCGAGGACATTTATGTGTTAAATTGCTACTAAATTAGATGGTTTTTGACACATGATGGAGTAGGAAAAGTAATAGTTTCTTTTTTGTAGATAATAATAGGTTACTAGGTTTTTTGAAAATTTTCACAGTAGTAGCACGAAGTCTGGAATTGTGCCCGGTATAGACTCACTCCGTATTACATGGTGCTCGTAACATAAATAGTGAAAAGTTGGTGTTACATTGTACAGTGGCATTAAGTGCCGTAATGTGAAAGTAGTGATGTTATGTTATGTTACAAAAAATGTTACAATTTTTTTTATGGCATAAGCCGGTAAACGAGCAGACGGATCACCTGATGGTAAGCAATCGGCGTCGCCCATGGACACCTGGAACACCAGAGGCGTTACAAGTGCGTTACCGGCCTTTTGGGGATCAGGAGCTTGAGAATCGCTGGGGATTCAGGGATTGGGGAGATTGGGGAAGGGGATGGTAATTGGGCCTCCGGTAACCTCACTCACACGACGAAACACAACGCAAGCGTAGCTTCACGTCGGTTTTCTGCTCGTTGGTGGTATCACTCCGGTCGAGCCGGCCCATTCGTGCCGAAGCATGACTCTCCCACACTTATTTTTTTTTTTTTTTTTTAAATCCCCACACTAGGATTATCTCCTGTGTCGTGGGTGCGTTTACAAACATACAAGTTCACATGACACCCAGACCCGGAACAACAATTTGTGGATCGCACAAAGTGTTGCTATTACTTATGATTCGTTAAGTTGGCGTTAAGTTCGTTTAAAGTCTACTAGACCAAAAATTCTCTGCCGACCTCTTCTAAGAACAAGTCGTCGAGTTAATAATGTAATTTTAACTACCTATAACGATTCGGTAATTTCTCGGTAATCTAGGCCTGATAACCAGTTATAACCGGATACATTGTGATATGAGTTAATTACCTAAAGATTTGTTAACAAAAAACATATGACGAATTGTCTAGAACTCGGCTTATGACATTGATTTGCTTGCTTATGTTGTACTTATTTGCTATCTCGGGGAAGGATTTAGATAGAAAACTGCACAGGTGGTGTAGTGGCTGGGGAACTGATAACTGTGTAATTTAATACAAGTTCGAATAGGTTTCTATCATATTTGGTCAAAAAGGGCTAATTGGGCAAAGACTGGAGTTTGGAATTAAGTAATCCGAACGACTGGGGTTCGAAAGGCAAGCCAAGTCTTCAATCCTGGTGGCTTACTCTTTAATCCAATTCCGATCGATCGACATTGGTATTGTGAAATTTCGTACTCTTGAGTTGCAACACTAGCGCCCAATGCATTCGTATTGCGTGGATATTTAATGAACTAAATGGTATTGAGTTTGGCTTTATATTCCGTATTATAAATGCTACTCCAACACCTACGATTGGGGTTGTATAGTTTTGCCATTGGATAATTATTAAGATTTTATTGGATTGAAATTGCATTGACATTGAGATTGGTTTCAAGAGTAAACACCCTGGTTGTTATACAAATATAATGAGAATCGTTATAGCAACCTTCTGGAGGCTTCAAAAATCTGTCAGCGTGTCTAACCCAAAAAACTCACTAATAGTGAATCGTAGACTACAGATATGGCAGTGCCCTCGTGTAAAATAAAGTACCAACCTATTGACATTTGTCGCGGAGAACCTAACGGGTAACCGGGGCTCCGTCTCGACGTGCAGGAGAAGGAACGGGGTGGTTTTTAGTCAGTAAGAGTCTGACACTCCCTCCCGCCTCACCCAGGCGGGGGCAGTCATTCGATGATTTTCCCCCCTTAAAACAAGAAACCTATTGACATTTGACTGCATCTAGTTAAGACTTAGGGTGAATACGAATATGAGTTAGAAGTGATCTTAAAAAATGTTTTTATACCTCTATATAATATGATGAATATGGCACATCACACGTGGACTTTGTTAATAGTATGTTAAAGAAGCCTATAAAAATCATGTAAATGGATGCGCTTCTAAAACGTAGACTCGTAGTAAAATACACATACATTTCCTACAAACAATGATACCACGTTCCTATTGTTTGAAAACTGCAATTTGATTTATACAAGCGCAATTTGTAATTAGCATAATCAGCAATCAATATGATTTAGTATTTCCACGCAAATTCGTTCAGTACATCGATATCAGGCGAAAGTAATGAAAGTGTATTCAAGTTTTGAGTAAAATATTTAAAAATACCTACACATTTAAAAGTAAAAAATAACAACAAACTTTATACAACCATCAATATTTTCATTTCCCGCGTTTAAAGTGCCTCCATTTTTGTATTGTCTATATTTAAACTTTTTTTTAATTTTTGACGCGTAGTGTTCCAAATATTTTATGAGTGGCCAGTAACAAAACTGCAGATTTGAAGGTAAGTCCTAGTGTATAAACTCCTTAGTCCCAACCTATTTCACTCTGTATAAGATTAAACAACTAGAATGGATTTCGATTGCACAACGTTTTTCATGATTGCGTTATTACTTGATACTTAATTAATTTATTAATTGGGCAATAAACTGTATTCAATTTTCGTTAAGAAAAAATACATGAGAAAGGAAAAATATTTCACATTCAGGTAACATTGAATTCTATTGACCTGGTGATTCTGGTGATCCTGAATGTCGAAGATTCAGCTGCAATCTTCCTTAATGGCACAATCTACACATAGTCATATGGACAGCACATAGGTACCTAATAGCCTAATAGAAAATGACCATAACGCAAAAAGCATGCATTACGCATCCATCGAGTTCCTCTCAGACACTTGACCCCAAGTAATACAATGACGAAGATTCCATCATAGTGTAAAAATAGTGAGTAATCAGTCAGTCAGTCAGTCAGTAATCTATCACTTTACAAGTAACTAGTTGTTTCCCTTAGTTTAGTCTGCCTACGTGTCCTCGTGTAGGGCTGGCGTACACTGAGCTATTTTATGAGTAAGATTTATTGTAAAGGCTTAGTTCACAACTAGGGATTTTTTCTGCTGTGTGTGACGTAAGGTTTTATAATTCTATTGGTTGTATAAAATAATTTTAATTGTTTGAAAATGAAACCTTTTTTGAGACATTATTGCAATTCTTAGCCACTAACATAACATCACGTCTTTTATGCCCTAA